CAGCACCCCCAAGTCCCTCTCCTCAATAGTCCAAGGCTGGCCTGATCTGGGGGCTACAGCAGGAGAAACTTTGCCTACAGTGGCATGTTCTTCTTCCAAATTATTTCTAATAGGAGATTAATTCCATCTATGATGCATTATCATATTTTGGGACATGCCAGGGCCATTTAAAACACTGTGAGTTACTGTGATGTCCACAAGAAAAAACTTACTGTGTGAGGTAAAAGAACCCTGTGGCCAAGCACTTGTCATGGTTGCTTCTTCCTTAGCAGTCAGGCTGTGTGGAGCTGACAGGCTTAACATTTCTGCCGGGGTCCCTTGCCCAGAGGGGTGAGAACGACCCCTTTTGTCCTAGCTCCTTTTGTCCTGTCTGCCCAGACCAGGCAGCTTCAGCCAGTGGGCACTGCTGGATGAAAAGAAAGCAGCAGATGACATTTTGTTCTCTGCCTGAACTAGTGTATAGGGCCTTTGTTTTTCACAAATGGATTTCAAGAAGATGTGCTAATATTGCTGCTGGTTTAGCAGTAGTTCTGTTTTTCAAGGGAGGTTTGTGGGCGTTGGGGTGTCCATTTATATTAGTGAGCTCTTCCCTTGTAAAATCCCGTGGATATCTGAAATATGAGTATGTATATTCTGAGTAAGTCTTTTTATCAATATTACTGCAACATTCCTTTCCTGGAGCATCATCTTATTTCGGTAAAAAATAGATTGTCATATTTTCAGAATAATAAGTTCTGAACATTTTTGTCTGTGTGCTGAGGCCACACTTACTCTGAGAAATTACCCTCACTTTTTTAACCCAGCAGCTAGCGTGTGTTAGGGGCTCCTGTCTGTATGGAGCACAGTAGACATTGCCTTTGGTTCAAGGTACATGTCACCAAGCATTTGGTCTGAAGATCCAATGTTTCAAAATACAGCCATCACACATACACATCTGGAAACCTTCTGACTTTGGGGTGTCTTAGCCATCCTAGTTGCTGTTTTCTTCAGCGGACCAGGAAGCTTTTCGGCATCACTGATGTGCCCGTGAGACCTGGAGGCTGCCAAACCAGTGACCTGCATTGTGTCAGTAAACCATAACATGAGTATTGTGCTCACAGAATGGGATAGGTTTGAAAGTGAGAGTCTTCTGCATACAGGGTTCTGTTGACATTTTCGTGGGTGATTTGAGAATCATTTGGGAGCCAGGAGTCTGAGCTGGATTTTCAAGTGTGCCAGCAGCTTGGCGAGGCGGATTCATGTACCCTAACTTTTGATCATCCAGTTTTGGTCCCTGTCCACTGAGAGGCTAGTCTTTGCCTGCAGTCCCTTCTGAGGCAGTTTGGCTCCTTTTGGACTCAGAGCAGAGGACAGGAATGTTACTTGAGTCCTTCTCACTGTGCTTCGGGTGTAGAGGTTAGTGAACTCAACTGGGGAAATAAGTTATCAACTGAACAAAGGATACATCATCTTTAGGGCTGGTCTGGATCTTGCTAGGATTTTTAAAGTTCACTAGGGTGATGTTCCAGGGTTCACTTGTCAGCAACAAAAGAACAGCAATGACATGGGACATCTTCTGCCAGCTGGATGCAGGTTGTTTCAAAATGTCAGATGCCAAGGCTGTGAGTGTGATGTAGGAAGAACGTGCTGGTAAAGTGCAGGGCTGGAGGACAGCAATACACTGAGAGACTAAATAGCCTTTCATTTCTGTCTCCTTAAAAGCTTTTGCAGCCCACACCAGGTTACTGCAGCCTGGCAAGTGATGATCATTGAATTAACTGCCCTTGCAGCTTTTCCTCTGTGTATCTACCAGCACATGGCTTCACCAGCAGCTCAGCTCCAGCTAGGTCGCTGGTCCCCTGCTGATGGGAAGGTAGCAGGGTCGTAGAGAGAGGGGACGAGTGGACAAGCAGACAGACACTCAGGCCAGCTGAAGCTGATTGTGAAACCAGAGCCTCAGACAGGCTCCAAAACTTACTGCACACCCTTTCTCATCCGTTAACCTCTGCTCAGCAGTGCACAGCCTGGACTGGCACAGCTAAATACAGAACCGTGGGAATCCTGTTTCCCAGTTAGAGACTGACCTCAACAAAGTCCCTGTATGGATATGCTGAAATTGCTTGGCAGCCCAACTGTGGCTTCCTTAGAAGGGTAGTGAAGGGAAACAACTTGAAGGATAAAAAACAACTTCCTCATGTTCCTGCTGGTAGCAGTCAAGCCCTGTGGGTTTGGCCCCGTGCCCTGTAACTGCCAGAGGAGTCCCCTGGCAAAACAGAAAGTGAGCCAGTCTAAGGGGGCTGGTTGGATGGCTAGACTAAACAGAGGGTTATTACCAGGACCTTTCTCTTCAATTAATTTTGTTTTACATGCTGTTCTTCATGACCCTCTTTATGGTTCTCTTTGCTTTCTTCAGTATTTCCCACCATTCTGGTACTCTTTGCTGCAAGTACTTCAGCTAACTATTATATTAGCAAACTCCTTGTTAACATCACTGGGGTAGAGACCTGTTTCTTGAAAATGTATCTAAGTACCTGTGGCATGGCAGGCTCTTACTCATCATGAGAGCTGTTGTAACTCTGAACAGACAAGAGAGCTTGTCAAAAACTTTTGGGCATTGTATTGGTTGGAAAATCCTCATCTACATTGTCGTCCGCTTCTCAAAATACACTTTGCAAGGCACAAATTATGCAAATAAAGGTTGCTCCTTCCCCAGTGGATTGGATTTATTTGTGTCTACTAATTCCATTTTTAGTCAACTTGTCATCTCTGAAAGACTCAGTCTTACTGTTCTTCTGGTTTTATTGTTAAATCTCTTTCTTTTTTTGATGGCTCTCATTTTTTACCTTTTTCTTTAATACTTAGCTTCATTTGAGTGATAGATTTCTTACCACATCCAATAAAGCAATGAATTTGAGTTTGTGTGGAAATCCTTGGTGAAAGCTGTCTGGCTCGTCCAAGTTATAACTTCAGATTTTGTCAGGTTTGGGAAGAAGGCTCTTCTACAAATGCTTCAGTTTGAGATAGTTTTGTGGAGCTGACCTTTCAAAAGTAGCTTGAATTCAGAAGTCACTCGAAGCATATCCATAATGAAGATAAATGTGAAAAAAAAAAAAAGTCATGGAACTTTCTCCTGCTTTAAAAAGGAGGTTTGTTTCATAAATAGTTCAGCAAATTCATCACTGACAACTGGAGATGCTTTAGTGTATTGAATAAGGCACATTTCCAAAAAGGCTGTATTTACTTTCTGTATGGGGCTTGCTCTTAGGCCTCTGAAGTGCAGCATTTCTCACTGCTACGAGACGAAGTGGTGGTGGCAAGGAGATGCCATCCATGAGTTCTGTTTTGGTGATAATAAACTTGTGAAAGTATCTGGAAGTAGCCAGACCCCACTCTTTTGTGTTGGAAGAGGATTTTACAGGATTCTTTAGTGTAGTTGGAATGTGTGTTTAATCTTTTGACCTTGTTCTTAGTTTTTGATGACTATGGCATGTTAAGTGCTGATAATTGGGGTTTGCTGTAGGCTGAAACCTGACCTGCTCTCTGCAAAGGAGATTGGATCTTCTATTGCAAGAGGCACTCAAAGGGGCTACCTTAGAAATGGCAAAGCCATGGCTGCTAAGACTAATGAGCTTGGAAACAGGGCAGTTTCTTAGGAAGGAGATGCTGTCCTAAGGAAAGCTTCTCTTTCAGCTTAGTTTGAATTGGACTTTTCACCCCAGTGTTTTTGTCCTGTTCTCTAAATGTACATCTTTGTGCCATGTGGTTTGCCTCATAACTCAAGCTGCCCTGCTGTGAGCGCTGCCTCGTAGCTGCGGCTGGCGGGGCGTGACTCCGAGGGGTGACAGCAAGAGGCACGTGGTTCTCACTCTGCTTGGAATCAGCTCTCCTCCTTTAAACCATGTGCAAATGAGGCCTCTAATCCAAAATAGGTTTTAGCTTCCTTCTCCAGCCAGTGGGGAGAGATCTCCAGGGATTTATTGCATCCAAATATCAGTGTTCCAAATAGATGGGATTAATTGTCCTGTGGAGATATATGTCTCTTTCCACGGAGTAGAGAAGAGGCCTAAAAAATAGCTTTGTTTTTGTTTAGAAGACTAAATTTAGTGGAAGTTAATCCTGTCCTTCGTTCAAGCAAGTACTGAGTGACATTTGTAAATTCTGAAAATGGCAGTCTGTTCAACCAAGTATCTTCCAGTCCCTGCTTGCTTCAACTTAAAGGTGATGTAGTCTTCATATCATGTCTCCTCTGGAGAGGACGGGGGGAGTGTCTAACACCTGTATCAAAGGAGTGTGCAGCAGTCAAAACCAGCAGCAGGCAGTGGCAAGGAAGTGGAGCCAATGGAGATGTTTTAAACACCTGTCCAAAGGAATCAGTGCAATGGCCCAACCTGGGCTTTGTTTTTCAAGCCATCCCTTTTCTCACTGTCTATGACAGTGTTGCTGAACTGATCTTCTTTCTTACTTTAAGCTTTCCGTGTGGGAGGAGTAAAACTGCTTAAAATAAATGTGATTGAGTGGTGGTTTGCACAGTACAGCATTGCTAGCCCAGCTCTTCCAGTTCCCACTGGGTTCCTTGATAGTTCTTAAGAATATAAAACATGAGTACAGGTAGACTGTGTCAGACCAACAGTCCCTCCAGCTCAATATCCCTGTTCCTGGCAGCAGCTAACAGATGCTGTGTACCTTTCTCTGATACCTTTCCAGCCTCTGTCTATTCTCAGCTTATGAGCCTTTCTAGCCACAAATCTTGATTGTTAAATGAAGAATTGCAGCTGACATTTTGTCTTTTATGTTTTAGAACTAAAAAAACAAAGAAGGCACCTGTTCCTCCAACCAAGGAAGAGAAGCCCAAAGTAACGATTTTTGAAGAGGAAGTAGATCCACATGAAGGACTCTTTGGCCCAGAAAAAGATTTCTCATCAATTGGTGCCAGGAAGAAGCTGAAAGATAGTAAATTTTGTCTATGTTTGTATATACACAGATTGTTTTATTTAAGGCATGTGTATAGCTGAGCTTTTAACATGTAGTGATACAGAGTATGCAGGCTGAGTAATGACTTGGGAATGTTAAGGCAAATCTTCAGCTGGAGCAGAATCACTTGGAATCATTCAGAAAGAATGAATAAGACCTGTAATACCTACATTTTGGGCTGGGATTTTGTAGGTCTGTAGGAACAGGCTGTCCCACAGTCACTCAAGCTACACTAACAGGAGTGATATGACTTACTTCTGAGTGCAAGAAGAAAGCAGATTTCCCAAGTCCTGAGAGTACAGAGTATTGCTGCACTTTGTGGGTCTGAAGTCCTTGTAAAGAAAAAAGAATTGTGTGTGTGGCCTTTATTTTCAGCCCAGTAGCCAGATTTACTAGCTAGTGTTAATGCAGATATTGTGTTATGTAGCATAATTTAACTACAGCATTTTCTGGTTCTCTTTTGTAGATGTGAAGTTATTTGAAGCTCCAGACCTTGGTGGGGTGGTCAGACTGGGTGACTCGCTGCTGCTGCCAGCTGCCTGCAAGGACAGGGACTATGTCCTGAGCACAGGTCCTGAGGAGGACACTGAGGAACTGCTGAGGTACATGTCTCAAATCTGTTGTGTAGGGTGCAGGTGATCTGAGGAGTTATTTAGACCTCAAAAGAAATGAGTTACAGGGCAAAGCTTAAATACTTTGAGTTCTGTGAATCAGTAATTGTACGTACAAGTAAAAGGTGATATGTGTCACAGAGCTTGGAAGTCCAACACATTGAAAAGGAAATTAGGACAAGCCTTTGAGAAAGGTAGGGTGCAAGGTAGTATTCTGTGACTCCAAAGGAAGGGTCTTGAAGGCCTAATGCATGCTATCTAGTCCTTGTTTTCTAACATGATACTTTGGCTTTTTGCAAGTGGTCCACAGGGGGTGGAAACTGACCTCCAGGGTGGAAAGTGAGAAACAAAGCTCAGAAGCAAGGAGGAATTCAGCTTCAGTGAGCTGAAATCAGGGGCTCTTGCCATAGGAGAAGTGATCTGCTGGTGGCTGACAGATCTCCCCACACTTCCAGGAGGAATCTTGTGCAGACCTCCACAGCTGTAGAGGACTCTCATTAAAATCTCAGTCACCCTGCATTTAATTTTTAATTTAGTGGCAAGGAAGGCCAGAGCTCGGAGTTGCAGGAGGGAATAATGTGCTTGCTCTTACACTTACCTGCCTCCTGGCTAGTGTAGCAGTGGCACATGGCACCACATGCTGTGTTTTACTCCTGGCACCTCTCCCACCAGGCTAGTTTGCCTGCACTGATGATCCTCAAGGGATCAAGCAGGGAGCCAATGCTCAGAGAGACCAGCATCACCAGAGAGCCTGTGCTGCAGTCAAGAGTCAAATTCATGCCTTCAGGATCTCAGGATGAATGATGAGGCTAATTCCTACCAGCTAGCTCCTGTTAGGATGTTTGATTTCCACAGCAGGGACTAAACCCAGGAGGGAGAACCTGTGTGTGACTTCAGACCTCTCCAGAAGCAGGTAGTTTTGCAGCTATTGCATTGTACCCCTGCAGAAGCACTCGCTATCTCAGCAGCAATACCTGATTTAATTTAAACAAAGCTTAGATGGGGTTGGGTGCCATCTCACATTGCATCCTGACAGCCCACCTGATGTTTCTAGAAGGTGATGATGCAGGACATGATCTGATTTAGTGCTGTGGTGTATTGGGAGCAGACACATATGTGCTTGCAGTATTTTTGTTTGCTTTCTCCTCTGCTATCCATCTCAGGTACAGCACTTGATACACATTGTTCATACAGCTCAAAGAGAAGGGCCTGTTTCAGTGCAGTTCTTGCATTGTTATGCAGTAGTGGAGAGAGCTTCTCCCTCTGTCATCTTCATGTCCTTTGGACTGTATGTTTTCTCTCCCTCTGTAGCAGAGAAGGGTCTCTGAAGTCTGCTCCAAGAGCAGTAGACCATGCTTTTAGATCAGTTTGAAGTCATCCATGTTAGCAGCATACCCAGATGATTATGGAGACCCATGAAAAAAAGATCCCATTTTTTTTAAATTCCAGTAGTTTTCAAGTAGTTTTCATTGTCCCAGTGCTTTCAGTAGTTGACAGGTCATCAAGACCCAATTGCAAATGAATACACATAAGGAAGCAGAAAAGCATGCCAGTGGTCCAGTGGGAAGGTTGCTCTGGGGATCCAGAGGCAACTCTTGGCTGTGCAGGAGGTATAGGCAGCTAGGTCAGGGTGTGTTGGCCTCTTCAGGTGTCTAACACCCTCTGAAGTCCCCCGAGAAGACTAGTCCACAGTGTTACCTGCATGTCCCAGAGAGCTGGTGGACTGAGTGCAAGGCAGTTGGTGGTAAAGCAGGACTGTTAAAGAGGGAAGAGGAGTGGCAGTGCTGTTTTAACCTGGTAGAATACTTCACCTCTAGTTCAATTCATTGCAGTCACCTGAAAACCCGTAGCTGAACGTGCTGCAGTGGTTGTGCACAATGCCTTTTGCCTTCTGTTCAGCTGGAAGCCTGAGCAGAACCATCTGGTCCCATAAATGTTGAGGCAGCCTTTGAGTCACCTCCCACCTTCCCTTGCCTCTAGACCAGTGTTCTGTGTCCTTGCAGGGCAGTGCCACAGTCTGTCCTCCAGACAGTGACCCTTTGTGACGAGAGGAGATGTTCAGTGGGAGCTGAACCCTGCAGTCTCTCTGGCTTGGGGGCTTGAGCATATTTTGAGGCTTAATCTGGCCTTTGCTCTCTAGATGTTGACAATCCATCCTCTTTCCCAAAAGGGACTGAAGAAATCTGTCCCCAGCCCTTGGATCAAGGCAGGAACTGTGACAGTTGATTCCTTTAGTGGGCTAGACCTTGCTAAGCTTCTAGGAGAAAACTGCCAGACATTTTGGTCTGCTGGACATGCCGTGTTGTACCCTACAGAAAATTTGCCCAGCCACATTTCATCAAGCCTACCACCAGCCTGAGCTGTGATGCAGCAGCAGGTCCCTGGTAGGCCCAGGGGCACAGAGGTGCTCCCTCCCAGAGGTGGTTGGCTGAGCAGTGCCCACGGGACAGGGCTCCATTGGGTGGTGGCCATGGGCAGGTTCCACACGCTCTGCTCACGTCCGTGAGGTACATCTGAGAAGTGTCTGACTTACTGGGAAAAGTACTTTCTAGTGATTAATCATGGGCAGAGGTAGGAGAGCACTGCCTCAGGCCTGGCAGGGCAGAACATTCTTCAAAGTGGTGGCCATGGGCAGGTTCCACACGCTCTGCTCACGTCCGTGAGGTACATCTGAGAAGTGTCTGACTTACTGGAAAAAGTACTTTCTAGTGAATCATGGGCAGAGGTAGGAGAGCACTGCCTCAGGCCTGGCAGGGCAGAACATTCTTCAAAGGGGAGATGGGAAAAAGACAATGTTCAACCACATCCCTCGTGGTCTTGGTGGTACCTGAGCGGTCGTAGCAGCAGTAGCTCCACACCACTGCCAGCACAGCAGTGAATCCCCAGCAGCAGCTTGCAACTCTTGAGGAAGAGACTGTTAGGGAGACAAACGAGTCTGCAAAATGTGCGTGGGCTGTGCCTGTCACAACAGGAGGGAGAAGAGAATGTGATAAATCTTCTCACTGCAGACGGAAGACTGTGCTCTCTGTGGATACCTGCTCCAAGGAAGTGAGAGCTGCTATTTAAATAGAATCACTGACCTTACATGAACAAGTCTCGAGCTTTGAGAAGAACCAATTGCTTTGTAAGTGTAATGAAAGATTTCTTTTCTATGGCAAAATATCCATGTCCATTCAAACAGATATCTTACCTCTTCCTGTCTGTTGACCAGCCTTTTACTGGTTACTGATCTCTTGGCCTACCAACAAATATTCAGTGATGCTGTTGGAGGAACTAGGTGATCTACCTCACTCTAACCACTGACATTGTATTTTTTTCTACCACGAGGTCTGCCATAATACATCAGGGAGGTGCCTGTAGAGCACTGTACTCACGTGTCCTTCCAGAACCTGTGGAAAAGTTCTTGCCCTGTCCCTAGGAATGTGTATGGGAGCTCTGGAGTAATGCAGAGAGGTGACCTAGAGCCCTAGTCTCTCCTAGTGTAGCAAATGGTGCTTTGGCTAGGCTTGAGAGTCTCCAGGTTTCAACCATCTTGCTCCAGGTCACTTGCATTTCTGACAGACAGCTTCATCCGAGGGGTAAAAGCTGCCTGCTCCCCCCACCCCAGCTATGCCTTTACCTGGTGATCAGGGAACTTTCTGGAGAAGCAGGAGACAGAGGCCTGAACATCTTCAGGCTGGGGAAAAATTGAACCATCTCTCTGGTTCACATTGTAAAAATTGCATTGTCTCCTTTCCTGGGTTAGTGATCTAAGCAGTAAGCTGTTTTCCTCAGAGGGCCTCTTGTGGGCATATGCATGTGAGACTTACCTGTACTAATGAGCCCTTGGCCAGACAGCACCACTAGGCTGCAGACATCTCTCTAGACTCCCTCCAGCTGCAGGACAGGGTGGCTGCACAGAGCTGCCTGCTCTCCTGCAGCTCCCAGTTCTGCCTGAGTGTTCCTTGGAGGAGCAGGGATGGGTCCAGGCCAAAGCTGTGCCAGTGGCTCTGGCCTTTCAGCAATACAGACTCTCACATCCCAGTGTCCAGACATATTTCCTAGCACTGGTTAAAGTACCAGGATGCATTTACCTCTAATGAATCGTGGGGGAGAGCAAGAGCAGGAGGGGAGATAGTTCCTACACAGCCCTCTGTGCTGTGCACTCCTGTGGTTACCTCTGGCTTGTGTAATGGCCACAGGCTTTGTTGGACATCACACTGTCTCTACTGACCAAGGCAGAAGTGGTGGTCAACAGATACTTTGAAGCCTCCTGCCTGTTTTTGGGCATAAGTCTTTTCTCAAGACATACATGTGATATTACACCACTCCCCAAGGCTTCACTAAGGTGTCTCTTGGAATTAACACCAGACAAAATAAAGACACTGATAAT